TGGCTACCCCTGCCTCAGACAGAGATTGTGGTGAATGGGTCTTGTAGGGCAGGAAACCATTGCAGAACAGCCGGAACATAAATACAAGGAGCTTAGCAGGCTGGGAGGACAGGAAAAAAAGTGACTTGGTTATTTTACTTTTTGTTGTGCTATTGGGTAGAAGTCTTTTCCTTACACTTCTAGAAGTGAAAGGAACCAGGAATGACCTCTAAAATGTTGGAATACTGGGGAGTTGGGGTGGGGGCTCTAGGCCTCTTTGGCATGTGGAAAACTATCCTAGCAAGTGTTGCCAGGGGATGTTATACTGATGACAACTGTTGCCTTGCTAATAACATGTTGTTGTTTTTTAAGGCTATAAAGTGAAAACAAAACTGAAAAAGATCTATAAATATCTATAATATCTGAGGACTGAAAGGAGAGGACGGTGAGAGCAAAACATTATGGCTGAGGTAAGAACCCCTTTGCATTGGGGACATTGTCTATCGATCCCCACCCAGTCCAAAATACCTTCCCTTTGATTGTCTTCCCTTTGACTGTTTTTTCAAAGTAAGAGTTGCCACTTGACTTGCTGTGTGCCTTATACTGCTATCTCTGGCTGCAAGCTAACGTACGTTGAACACAGTGAGACTAACTTCTGTGTAAGAATGCTTAGGATAGTTTTGTCTCTAGCTCAGAGCTTTCCAAACTGCATGGTTGTGACACATTCGTGTGTCAGCTGCAGTGCGTCGGTGTTTTCACATGAATGCTGCCTGCGCTGGAAAGGGGTTAGTTTAACCTCCGGTTTCTAGTGAAACTGAATTACTGTGTCACAAAATGCTGCGTGTATAAAAAGTGTGTCACCAGCAAGAAAAGTTTGGAAAGCTCTGCTTTAGCTCCTTTCCCCTGCCTTGCAAGTCTGACTTAGAAAAACCGTGGTGAATAATCACAGGGTCCCAAATTCATCTGCTTGTGGGAAGAGAGCGAGGCTCCTGCAAGCCATGGATACTAAGTTTTGGTTTCTTGCAAAAAGAGAGCTTGGAATGAAATCCACGATAAGAGCAGCAACTCAGTAAAGCGCTGGGCTCTGTACTGTTTATATGCCTGTAATTTTATGTAAGTTTTCTTGACTTAAATTGTTATGTAGTGTAGTTTCACCCTGGGCCAACAGGGGGATACTGTATATAGTTTTCACTCAGGTCTGTAGATAGTTTTCACTCAGGTCCGCGCCAGTTATTTTAGGCGGGAACTCTGGGCTGTTGTGGTTACAATGTTGACAGCCGGCTGCCTATAAATACAGGCCGGCTGAGCTGTTCGCAGTCAGTTCTGTTCCAGCTTACCATAATAAAGAGCTACTTGAAGAAATCGCTGTGCCGGCTGCTATGTCAACCCACGACTTAACATAAATATTTTTATTTAAGTTTGCTTGACTTTCATTTTTATACTTTACTTTATTGTGCAATATTTGAACTGATTTTTGTTTCTGCCTTTGGCTCGTTATAAAACCAATAAACATTTTCTCTTTAAAAAAGAGTAAATGGCTGGACACTAGAGCTGGGAAGAAAGGAAAGCAGATCTCAAGAGCAGGAAAGAGCTAAGAATAGGGGGATTTCCTCAGTGAAGGGGTTTCCACCTGGCCTTGCAGCATCTTGCAGGAGGTCATGTGGTGCTTTTCTCAGACTTAAAGAACATGAGAATAGCCTGCTAGATCAGGGAATGGCCTATCTACCTAGTCCAGCATCCTGTTCTCATAGTGGAGCAGGTGACGCTGTGGACTAAACCACTGAGCCTCTTCGGCTTGCTGATTGGAAGGTCAGCAGTTCAAATCCCTGTGAGCTCACATCTGAAAGCACGCCAGTGCAAATAGATAAATAGACATTGCTGCGGGGGGGGGCAGGTAAACGACGTTTCCATGTGCATTCCTTGCTTGCTCGCTTGCCACTCAGGCCCAGCCTTCCCTCACTCAGCGCCAGGGCTGCCACAGCTAGAGGAGGAGGGGTGGTTGCTGTTGTAGCGGCAGTGGCTGGAACCAGCGCTGGAGGGCGGCAGGTGCCTGCTCGCTTGTCACCCGCCCGCCTTCCCTCACTAGGAAAACGGAAGTGTGGCACTCAAAATGGAAGTTATACTCAGAACAGAGCACGTTTGGCTTCTGAAAAAGGTTCCAAAACTGGAACACTCATTTCCAGGTTTGAAGTATTCAGGTTCCAAGTAGTACAAGAACTAGGCTGTTCGAAAACTGAGGGACCGCTGTATTTATTTTTCCCAATTTGAACTGTATTTATTTCCCCCGATTTGAACTGTATTTATTTCCCCTCCCCCTTAGTGGTGAACACACACACACACACAAAATAGACACGTGGCCAGAGTTTCCACTTTAGGGAGATTTTTTTAAAGCTGGATTCAGCAAAAATGTGTGGCACCCCTAGAATGAGAAAGAACTTTTAAAGAAGACTGGGAAAGACTTGTGGAATATTTGAAAAATCATTACAAACATATTAAAATGTTAACAGGATTTCAGCAGTATGAAGTATACTGGAACAAAAAGTGAAAAAGAGAGAAAATGGAAAATATAGACTATGCAGTGGTAAAGGTTTAATGAAATGAACCATGGACGGGGGAGAAGGGAAGTCAGTGGAAAATGTATGGTTTGTATTTTGGCTTAATATTATTGTGCAAATTTTAAAAACTGAAAATGATGGATACAATAAACAAGATAACGATGCCACAGAGTGAGGTCTGGGAGAAATATTTGCCATAAGCTACACAGGTGTAAGAAATCTGTGGTCCTCCAGATGTGGCTGGATTTGAACTCCCATCAGCCCTAGCAACTATGGCTGATGTCCAGGGACTATGGGAGTTGTGGTCCAGCAACATCCGGAAGGCCACAAGTTCTCTATCCCTGAGCTACGGTATAAAAGAAAAGGCTGCCTCTGTGGCTGTGATCCTATGTATTTGGGAGTGTGTTTCATTGAACCTAGTGGGACTTACTTCTGAATAAACTTGCACAGCTGTTTTACGATGGAATACATTGGCCCACTTACATCTAGCAGAGACCAAAGCCTGGAGACCAGATTGAGATTTATCGAATTGGTTACCAACACTGGGCTATCTACGTAGGCGATGGATATGTGGTCCACCTGGCTTCTGCAGGTAAGAGCTTCTCATTATTTCCTAGAAAGGGTGATTTTATGAGAGGCAAGAATAAGATAGAGAACATTGGCAGATTACCCCTGAAGAAACACAGCCCTTGGGGGGGGGGAAGGTTCCCCACCACTGGCTTAGGGACTAATTGTTGCTGGAAGTTCTACGTCCTGATACAGTGGTACCACAGGTTACATACGCTTCAGGTTACATATGCTTCAGGTTACAGACTCCGCAACCCAGAAATAGTGCTTCAGGTTAAGAACTTTGCTTCAGGATGAGAACAGAAATCGTGCTCCGGCAGCGCGGCAGCAGCAGGAGGCCCCATTAGCTAAAGTGGTGCTTCAGGTTAAGAACAGTTTCAGGTTAAGTACGGACCTCCAGAACGAATTATGTACTTAACCCGAGGTACCATTGTACTTGCAATTGTTGTAAGCCAGTTAGAGGACTGCTTTGTAGCCAAGAGATTGCATTCTGGTTGGTTGTAAGTTGTTTTGGGTTGCCTTGGGCAAGATAAGAGTGACTAACAATTTTTTTAAAAAATAGTAGTATTTGTCAAAACAACAACAACTGATGTCTTCTTGAAGACAATGTTGTTGATGAAATGCAGGGAATCCAGGCCTAATGGTCACTGTTTCTGAGTTTCTTTCCCCCCTCTATTCTTGAGATGGGGGTACAGGAAGTTTTTTCTCTATTTCTCTGCCTGCCGATACAACAAAGGCACTGGTGAAGAAAGAAAACCTTTCAAAAGTGGCGGGGATAAGCGGCTGGAAGGTCAACAACAAGAAGGACAGAAAATATAAAGCCAGGCCTGTAAGCGAACTAATTAGCACTGCAAATGAATATGTTGGGATGGAGATAGACTACAATGTGGTCA